AGATGCACCCTGTGTCGGATGCAACCAGACAGAGCCTCCTCCATGTTTCACAGTTGCTGCAGATTTCTTTTCTTTATGTGCTTCCCTCTTGCATCTATATGGGGAGGATGTGATTTGTCGAAAGGCTCCATTTGGGTCTTATCCATCTAAATCACATTCGCCCAGAAACTTTGTACCTTGTAAACATGCGTTTTGACAACTTCCAGTCTCACATTTCATTATTTACGATGGATTCTATCAAACAACCATAAAAACATCAAGGTATACATTTTCAACCCATTATTGGAACCTTTTCAGCCATAATTGCAAACATAATGCACTTACGTAACAGCCATGGGGCCTACAGGCTTCTGGCAGATTTCTCATAGTCCGGTCAGGAATTATTTGGACTCTCGTCCCTACTGAAAGTCTGAGAGAGAAGCCACTGGACCTAGATTGTAGAACCAGTGGGGAGGACTGGGATTTTTACTGTAAACACCGTGAACGTTAAACGACCTGTATTTGCATAGCACCTTCTTAGGGTACTACAACCGTGCTTCACAACACAATCAGTCATCCACCCATTCACACACACATTCACATCCTGGTGGGGACAAAATATGATGTAGCCACAGCTGCCCTGAGGAGCACTGACAGAGGTGAGGCCTGCCCAACACAGGCGCCACCGGTCCCTCAGACCACCACCAGCAGACAAGGTGGGTTACGTGTCTTGCCCAAGGATACAACAGCAGCATTCTCTGGTCGGAGCCAGGATAAAACCTGCAACCTTCCGATTACTGGACAACCTGCTCTACCTCCTGAGCTACTGCTATCCAATGTGTGCTTGGAAACCAGTATCGTAAATGTAGCCCTCAGAATGTCTCTCAGAAATTAAAACCTGGCTAGCTTCCAATTTCCTGAAGTTCAATGAAAATAAGACCGAGGCCATTCTTTTCAAACCAAAACATGATCTGCATACTTCTGCTGCCTTTGATCTCTCCCTCTCAACCTTAATTCCTGTGTGACCAGCCTTGGGGTTAAACTGGATGCTGATTTGTCAATGAGTGCACATGTTAATGCCACTGTTCGATCCTGCTTCTTCCAGCTTCGTCGCCTTACCCGACTAAAGCCCATTCTTAAGAGGCCGCACTTAGAATCTGTCACACCCTGTCCTGTCTCCCTGTTTGGTTCAGCCTTGTGTCTCGTTAATTACTCCCACCTGCCTCTCGTTTTCCCAATCACCTTAGCTCCCGGTCCTCCTGTATTTAAACCCCTTCTGTTCTGTGTCTTGTGTCGGTTCATTGTTTCATTGTCCAACGTGTCTCAGAATAAATCATTGTAAGAATTCCTACCTGTCTGCCTGTTTCCTCCCTGGTCTGGATCCTCACCTTTCCTCGGCTTACTTCACCGGCACCCGTGACAGAATCAGTTATTCATGCATTTATCACTTCCAGACTGGACTTTTCCAACTCAGTTCTAATTGGTGTAAATGTATCTGTCCTAAATCGTCTGCAGAAAGTCCAGAATGCCGCAGCAAGATTTCTTTCCAATACAAAGAAACGCTGTCACATCACTCCCATTCTGGCTGATCTACACTGGATTCCTGTGCACTTTCGAATACAATACAAAGTACAAACTTTTGCCTACAAAGGCCTTAATGGTCTATCCCCCTTATACTTGTCAGAGCTGCTCACCCCCTACATCCCCCCCCCCCCCCCCCCCCCCCCCCCGGGTCACTAAGGTCTGCTGACCATCTACTGCTCAAAGTCCCTAAAATGAAATATAAAGCTCGTGGGGAGCATGCGTTCGCCTTTGCTGTTCTGGAATGCACTCCCTCTGGTGGTACGCCAGGCTTCTCCACTGGCACAGTTTAAATCCAGCCTAAAGACATATTTCTTTAATTTAGCTTTTAGCCAATGATCATTCTTTTATGCTGTGCCGCTCTTCTCTTTTTACTGACTTCTGTTTTCATTGACTTCTGTTTTTATTGGCTGTTTTAACTTTTGTTTTGATTTTAGGAGTTTCTATTTTATGACAGTTTTTAATTTGTGTTTTACGTATATGTATGTGAATTTGAATGCTTTTTAGGTTTAACTCTGTGCAGTGCTTTGGTCAGCTGACATGCTGTTTTTAAATGCGCTATATAAATAAAATTGGATTGGATAGCCCAGAGAACATGTGCGCATTAGGTGAAGTTCGTTAGTTAGCCAGCAAAATATGCAACTTTGAATGTCTAGTGAAGAGTCATAACAGTGTCACGTGATTGGACACTGATGTGACTTAACCCGATGTTCACCTCTGGTCTCCAAAAAAGCTGTTCTAGTCTATTTGGTTATGCTCGTATGATCAGTTTCTTCATTTTTTCATTACATTTCCTTTTGTGTCCTGTGAACCTGTGAACTGCAGTCACGGGAACACCGAGCTGCTTGGAGATTCTCTTCTAGCCTTTAGCTTTAACCCTCCCGCATTGTTAATGGGGTCAGATGGACCCCTGGTGTATTTGTATTTTTAATTTCAATATTTTTTTAAGCAGTGCATCACTTCAGTCCTGCCAAGGCATAAACTTTAAACCCTGTTTAACCACCCCCTGTCCTGGCGGGGTCACCTGATAGGAAAGTGGAAGGGTTAAAATTCTGGTCAATTTTTCTAATCTTACCACAGCTTCCTGTTGTCCACGTTCAGTGTGTTACACTCCCTGATGCTAAACAGCACTGTGACTACATTTCACCCTCAATATAATAAACAGAATGATTACAAGATTGACGACATGTGTAGTGCTGATAATAGGAGACACCTCATATATAACATACAACTCATATTGCTCTCACTTGATTTTATAACTTTAAACCACAAGCATGTAACAAGTCTTGGGGTAAAATTGGATTCTGACCTCTCATTGGATTCTCAGATAAACTCTGTTGTGAGGTCCTGTTTTTATTTTTATATCGTCTGGTTCATCTTCAACGTATTCTGAAGCGGAGGTATTTGGAATCACATCTTGTTTACCTCCCACTTACACTATGCAAACACGCTCCTCACTGGTATTCCTAGCTCAGTATTAAATCGGCTGCAGGTTGTCCAGAATGCTGCTGCGAGGTTCCTGATGAACACAAATCGACGTAGCCACATCACCCCAGTCCTTGCATACCTTCATTGGCTCCCTGTCGCATTCCGTGTAGTTTAAGCTTGCGCATGGGCTTTAGGAGAGGCTTTCTTCACTGACAATACCCATGCATGCCATTCCTGTGAAGTGTGCGCTGTATCAGAAACAGGGACCTGAAAAGGCTCAACAGCCTAATAAAAAAGGCTGGTTCTGTTCTGGGGACGACTGTGGAACCACTGGAGGAGATCACGCAAAGAAGGATTCTCCAGAGAATCAAGAAAATGATGGACGACCCTGAGCATTCTCTTCACAAGACTGTCCGACAACAGAAGAGTGTCTTCAGTCAGAGGCTTCTTCAGTTTCGCTGCAACACTGACCGCTACTGGAGATCCTTCCTGCCAACAGCCATTGTAATATACAATAACTCTTTGACGACTTGATTATTATTATTATCCTGAGCTACTACAGCAATCAATTTCCCTCTGGGATTAATAAAGTATTTTTGAATTTGAATTTGAATTGAATTTGTATGGTGTCACGGGAAATGGTCACTCCAGTTTGGCTTTCTACTGCTTTAGCTCACCGCAGTGAACTTGCATGGTGGTTTTCTTCAACCCTTCTCATCACAAGACGCTCCTGTCGAGATGCCAACTTCCGTGGACGGCTTGCAGGTCTCTGTAAGATGGTTGCACTTTGCTACAGCATTCTGACTGATATGTAAAGCTTTGCTGATCTTGTAGTCCTCACCTTTTCTGTGAAAATAAATGATTTCCTTCTCAGATTTTGTGACATTTCTCTTTCATGTGGAGCCAGTACCGACAACATGACATGGGAAGGGCTTTTCTTTGTTAAGTAATGCCCTTTTATAGTCACCTGTCTGCTGGATACCTCTTAGATGAATCATTAGACTCACATATGGTTGAATGCCTGTTAGTTTGAATTTTGTTGTCTTAAGTGTAGCTTTTCTCCTAAGACTATAGTTAGGGCGTTCTCATTTTTGCAACATGGGCTTGAATGGATTTGTTAGGAAAATCACTTTTTGTGTGTGAAAATGAACAAATCTGGTTTTCAATCAATGACCTGCATTTGTGGGAGTATGGTGTAGTACGGTATCTCAAAATGTTCATCCTGAAAGGAAACTTAAGGTTTTCTGATAAATGTAGTGGGATGTACTCATTTAAGCTGAGCACTTTATATATTCAAATTAATTTCAATATTTCATATGGCTACCATAAAGTCCAGTCAACTTTCATTAGATTTAAAATTAGATTCAAAGTCAATGTAAAATACTCAATTTTCTGTAAATTTGAATTGTTTGCCTCTGTGATGTTTCAAGGTACTTCAGGGACCATTGTAAAATATATTAACAGCCGAGTACCAACAATTTTGTCCACACCTGTGAAAATACATAGTTTCTATGAAGTTGAGGACATTTATTGAATTCATAAATGTTTTCACAAAAGACAAATAAAGCACTTCATTAAAAAGGACTCTGGAACTTTTTAGATTAAACAAGTGTGTGAGCTTTCACTATTTTTAAGTTTCACTAAATCTTAAAAGGTCAAGGAGACACGTATTTCGGCTCCTCTAGGTTTTTTTTCCTCCTAAAATGTTTAATTTATGTTGTTATGGACTGTCCCACTCCATCCGCCATTTAAGGACACAAACCAAGAGGCCATTTGTAAAACGCAGCACTTAACTCTTTCAACATGATCTGAAAATGAGTCCTTCCTGAATATTTGATTATATTTTTAAGAACGTGTTTATCATATGGCTAAATGTCATGTGCCACTAAACATACTGACCATCCATCCATTCAAAGCACATTTAACAATCATTAAACAAGAAAAATGATTTCCAAGAAGCTTTGCTTGATGTTCATAAAAATGTTTCATTTATATTTACAGAGCAAAACATGTCACAATGAACAATATTTTATTCATTTTTCCTTGTTTTTGGCAAATAAGATTATTTTTCAAATACTACACAATGTCGATAACCATTTTCAAATACAGAGTGTGCAGCACGAACACTGTTTAACGGCATTTCTGATACACGATGTAAAAACTTAGTTTACACGATGGCAGAAAACAGATATAATACATTACTTCTTATGATTATCCTTGTTTTCTTTTCACAATGCAAGAGCACTGAGATTAGAAAATGAGCAAGATAGTGAAATGAGTGTAAGTACAGTTTTCCACAAATAGAGGCTTAATCAGAAACATAAATATTTTTTAAAATTACAGCAAACAAATTCTCGATTTGTTACCAGCAGCACAGCAAGATCTACAGATGAAATAAATATGTGGAATCAGAGTAAACCACTGCAAATCTGAGTTCTCCTGGTCTGATGAGTTGAATATAAAAGTGTTTTTTAAATTTTTATAAGTTTGAGAGCAGCACAATATGAAATGATTGAACTAAAGCAAACATCTAGCTCCATTTCATCTGCTGGGCTAAACACCTGCTTTACTTACACCCAAAAAGGACTCGGAGGTCATTTATTAAGATTAGCTTCAAACTGAATATCAAAGACGATTATGATGTCTAATAATGCCAAAGTGAAAGAAGCCATTGGAGGGGTTAAAAGAGAGAAAGGAAGAAGACTCAAACCACTTGAACAAATTTCCAGCCCCAAAGGAAATTTTCAATCTTCAACACTTCAACAGGTAACGACCGGTCGGAACAAGAACAAGCCACCAGCTGAAGTTGAAACGGGACAGTCAGTGTTAGGTGGTCTTCACCAGGTCGTAGACATGAATGTGGACATCGTCGTCATATTTTATGTAATACACAGTGGGTTTCGCAGGGACCTGGTAGATGACTAAGCCAGTCCTCTTCAGGCCGTTATCTGTGACGTACTCCACCTGTTTACCCACAAGGCTCTCTGGCTCCTCACCTGGTTTCCTGTCAGCTGGGAGAAGATGTTTGTTCTCTGCAAGATCAAAAGAGCAACATATTAGTATCAAATGTCACATTTGGGCTGCATGGTGGCACAGTGATTAGCACTGTTGCCTCGCAGCACGAAGGTTGCAGGTTCGAAACTCGGCTGCGGCCTTTCTGCGTGGAGTTGCGTGTTCTCCCCATGGATGCGTGGGTTTCCTCCGGGTACTCCGGTTTCCCCCACAGATCACAACATGCCCTATAGGTTATAAATTGTAAGTCGCTTTGGATAAAAGCGTCTGCCAAATAAATAAACATAAACATTTAAAACCAGCTGAATAGAACACGTGTGCTATGGTTGAGCGATATGTACAATTTTTCCAACTAATGTGTAGGTGGTGTTTAGACGTTTTGTGGGACTGACACACTACACGCAGCAATACACCAATCACAAATTATCTTAATTTGTTCACAGGAGCAGACCAGGAGTCCTCACGTGAGTGAACGCTGATTTTCAGAAATTTCATTTGCTATTTAATGCGTCAATCAACAACATACTGCGCCACAACTGGTCTGAGTTACGAAAGTGAGAATGGGGGTGGCACTTCTGACCTATCGGCCAATGGCTGATGATTTTACACATTTTCAGATGGGCAAAGTGTATGAAAGACCTTGGCCACTATCTCATGTAGATTAGCCTGTGTCAGAGAATTTATGTCTCTGCTCGAGGTCAGAAACAGGACATTCATGATGCTACATAGGTCTAAAGAGAAAGGCGAGTAGGGACTGGACCTTTTTGGTCTTGGTCCTTAGAGTTTGGAATATTCTGCCTTTAGACATCAGCCAAGCTCCCGCTCTTACGATTTAAAACATATTTCTACTCACTAGCCTCTCTCCAGAGTGCACAATAAAAGTCTTTTTCACCATTATTTGCTTTTTATTTATTTGTGTTTGACTTCACCTGTATCCTACCGCAAGAATCCGGTCTAATGATGGATGATATATGTACACTGAATGTTGCAAAAAAGACTGATCTGACCTGGAAGTATGTAAATTCCCATCTGCAAGACTAATTCAAAATTCCTCCAGCCACCCGACCTTAATGAGTGCCAAATAAAGTTGTTAAATTAGAATGGAAGAGCTGAAATTCTGCACAAAATGTTCACAAAAACTACCCTGAAGCACACTCAGAGGGAGACTATGTAAATGAGTGCTGTTCTTTTCCTCCCACCTCTCTGGGAATGTAAAATCATCAGACACACACAATCTCACTCTCGTTACTGCACCTGACTCTGGCAGGACACGCAGGTCTCCGTCCTTATAGTCGTCCCACAGCTGGTACATGTACAGCACCGGGTCCTTCTCGTAGGTGATGTAGTACCAGTGGGTCATGATGGGCGCTCGGGACAGCACCATACCTCGCCACTCGTTTTTCTCCCCGTCCTCCTTCTCGAACAGATGTTCCACTGCTCGACCCACAAGCTCCTCTGCCCCGGGAGGCACCTTGATCTTATTGTTTACTGTCAGAGAGAAGGGATCACTCTAATGAGAATGAATATTTCACCGACCCTAAACAGATAAAACAATGCATACATGTTTAACTGATTAAAATAAGAGCTTACTTAAATCTCATCAACAGTCAGTAGAAAGAAGCCAGACGTGTTTGCACCCTATATCCTTAAAATTCACCAGTTTTTTTTTTTTGTTGTCTTTTAAACATTAATTCTGGTTAACTCATTAATTGCCATTGACGACAAAAGTAGTCATTTTAAATCCAACCGTTCACTGCCAATGTCATCATTTGCATTGTTTTTACTATGTGGGCGTCGGAACGAGCCCCCGCACCGTGAGAACCAACATCCCAGCTCTAAAGCCGATCTTCATCTGCGTACGTCACGGGTCACGTGATCAGGAAGCAGAAAACCCATGTGTTAGGAGATCGTTTTGGGCCGCTGCCGTAAAAAAAAAAGTGAGGCGCGACCCGGAAAAGCTTCTGCCGATCACAATTCGACAACGGATTATGAAAGAACGGATAACGCTTGAAACGCACTGATTCTTCCTGATGTAAGAGGCGAGTCTCTGCTTTGTTTTGGTAGTTTTGGCGTTGACATCATCCTAGAGTGCAACATTCTGTGACTCTTACAAAAAAACTGTGAAAACGCTGAAAAACGCTGGCAGCGGAGGGCTTTTCTGATCAGAAAACGGCGGGCAGTGAATGAGTTAATTAAGGTTGTTTATTCCTCTGGTAAAGATATAAATGAGTTTGTTTCAATCCATAGCATCAGTGAGCTGTCTATTAAAAAGAGATGATGAAATAAATTCATTGATTCTTCAACTGAATGAAAACGCAGCGACTTATTTTACCAAAAAGTGCAGGTTAACAGACTCCAGATGTGATCAAGGTGGTCCAAAATCTAACTCTTTACAAAGCTGGTAAAGTTGGGAGCCTGGATAACTTAGCTAGTGTTACTTCTAAGGTACTGGAAAAGATATTGCTTGATCGACTTTCTCACTATATAACAACGACACACCACCAGTTTGGTTTTACACCCAAGCTGGGAAAAGATCTGTGTATCTATGTCTTGAAGGAAGCAGCTCATCTTTATTTGAGACAGAACTCCTCAGTGATGATGGGGTTTATTGACGCATCTAAGGCATTTGATCGGGTCAACCACTCTAAGCTTTTTTGTAAATTAAGTGAAAGAGGTGTCCCTGATAGCATTGTGAGGATTTTGGCATACTGGTATTCTAATCAGACAACGCAACTTAAATGGAACAATACCACATCAGCCCCCTTTGGTGTTAACAACGGGGTGGGTCAGGGAGGGCTACTGTCACCTGCTCTGTTCAACCTCTACATGGATGATTTGTCAAATCAACTCAAGAAATGTAAAACTGGATGTATGATTGGTAACAATCTGATTAATCATCTCATGTATGCTGATGACTTGGCCATCATTTCGCCCAGCAGTGCTGGTTTTCAGCAGCTGCTAAACACATGCTCTCAATATGGGCTGAACTACGATGTGCAGTTTAATACAAACAAAGAGTGTTGTGCTGATTTGTCAAACCAAAGGGGATAAGGATCTTTGTTTCCCAGACTTCTACTTGCTCGACAAGAAGATAAGTGTCAGTGACAAAGCAAAATATTTGGGTCACATCATCACAGATCAGCTCTGTGACAATGACGACATTTACCGGCAAGCCAATATTTTGGTCGGGAAATTCCATGTGCTCTGTTAAGATAAAAATCCACCTTTTTATGGGCCATTCCCATCTGTACCGGGTCGGCCCGGGCCGGGTAGCCCCCGTCGGCCCCAGCCTGGCCCGGTTGATTCCACACATCCTTGTCTTAAGCCCATGTGGGCTGATTCTACCCACCAATCAGAGGCTTGCTCTAATGGAAGGTGTGAATTTGCTGTCAGCAGTGGGTGTGTTGGCCCTGGTCGGCCTGAAGTAGACCCCCTCGAGAAGAGGGCTGAGAATGAGCCTTGGTTGGCCCGGAAAAATACCAGGCCACCCAGATATGTAAACAACCTAAGCTACCCGCCCGGGCCGACCCGGTACAGATGGGAATGGCCCATTAGAACCTACTGCACATATTTGTATACTGCACCGTTGTGGTGTAAGTATAGGAAAGCCAGCTTGCATAAGTTTAAAGTAGCCTACAATGATACATTTAGGACTCTGCAAGGGAAGCCTCGGTCCTGTAGTGCAAGTCTTTCATTTTGTAATGCTCATGTCAGGACCAGTGTTGGGAATGTTACTTTAAAAAAGTAATTAGTTATAGTTACTGATCACTTTGTCAAAAGAGTAACTCAGTTACTAACTGAGTTACAAGATTTAAAAAGTAACAAATTACCAAGAAAAATAACTACTTAGTTACTTTTTTCATTAAAGCATGCAAGAATTACTGCAATAGTAAAATATAAATGACTAATGACTGGAACATAATAAAATGTATGTCCAAATGTTTTTATAAACCTGAATAATTTAAATAAATAAGCACTTAACAGGAGGAACTACTAACAAGAGCATTACACTTATCTAGACTACTAAAAGGTCACTGTGTGATATTTAACAAGACCCCAATCAGCTAAAATTTAAAATTGCAAATAGAAACACCTGTAAAGCTTCCCGAGCCTTTAAATGGTCTCTCAGTCTAGTTAAATTACCGAAATGAATGTAATTTTGCACAGCATTTTAATTTTTCCAGCTTCACATAATTGTGTGTTTTTGGCAGCATTTCTGTTGCTGGTAATCTAGTAACGGTTAAATAAATAAATAAAATCCTTTAAAATGACACTAGAAGAGGCACAAGCCTAAAGGAGGACTTACATTTACTAATTTGGGTCAGACCCAAACACAGAAGAGCTGAAGCTGGGTGGTAAACACACACAGGTAGTTCTGATAACACCTGAGCTCCATGGCGTTTGAGACTGATGCATCAGTGTTACAGCGGGACTAAAGACATGATCAGAAACAGGTTACAGCTGGATGATCTAGGAAGGTAGAAGATCAGGACGTCTGAGCGGTGAACAGGTGAGCAGACCTTCAGGATATCCCGCTGTCACGCTAAGAAGGGCACGGCTGCAGACCCGCAGATTCGCTGCTGCATCTGCACGTCTTCCTCGTTCTTCACGGGCCGTGATACGCTTGGATGAAAACATCTGCCTCTTTAGCTCCTGATCAGCTGATGACAGCTTCAACACACCACGCTGCTTAACGCACGCATGTCCTTATCAGTAACAGAAACGATCGTTTTGTTAAAAGAAGACGGTAATTAATTAGTTTGCTCGTTACTGAAAGAAATTTTTTTTTTAATTAACGTGGTTATTTTAAACAGCGTTATTCCCATCACTGCTCTGTTGTGTCTACAGAATGCAGTGACTGAGACCGTGAGGGTCTCCGCCCACCCGGCCAATCATCATCGTGTTTGTAAGTGCGTTACCGACACCTCTCTCTCCCTGGCTGCAGCTGAAGTGTGGCGGTCAGAAAGCCTCACACTGTTGCTCTACGTTCGACAAGCACATAGTAACGCACAACCTTCCGTCCCCAGTAACGGTAACGGCGTTGCAACAAAGGGAAAAGTAATTAGATTATTCCGTTACCTAAAAAAGAACGCCGTTAGTAACGCCGTTATACTTAAACGGCGTTACTCCCAACTAGGGCTGCAGCTATCGAATATTTTTGTAATCGAGTACTCTATCGAATATTTTTTTCGATTAATCGAGTACTCTAATAAATTACCCTTTTGTATTTGTAAACCATTTTATCAAATAGCATGTTATAAAATATGAAAGACCTCTTAAAATGAGCAAGCTATTGCCAGTTATTCTTCAAGTTTTATTCAAAATTAGTTTTCAAAACTTCAGCACTTCAACTTTACTTCACAGTAAACAAATGGCTGTGCAAAAAATAAGTACACAACCTGAGCCGATTTTCCCCTCGTGCGAGAATCTGCTAGCCTGCAAGCCAGACAAAAACTAGGAGGATAACTGTTGAAGTAGCGCTGCGAGCGGCTGCGGCCCAAACAGAACCAGAACCGCTCACGGTGCATGCGCAAACAGCTCGCCAGCTGTTCCCTATTAACACACGTCCGTTTTAATTTCAACACTTTTTTCTCACACAATAACAAGGATTGTCGAGAAAGCATGTTTGCCGTGGTTTTGTCAAATTATACTGATCACAAAACATTTATTTACTTTCTTTCGTTTTCCTCGCATAAATACCCATGTCCTCCTGCAGCAATCCCGAAGGACAACAAACATCAATAACACAATAAAAAGTCCGACGTTTTGTGTAAAAACTGCTATTTTTAGCACATTTTAAGTCCGACGTGTTGCTACCAGACGTACGGTGTAAGCTGAAACTGAGTGCTACAAACGAAAAAGTCGCACAGTGTCCACAGAATATATAGAAATACAGGCTAAAAAGCATTATCTTGTAGAGGCTCCGAGTCCGCTTGCAGAAGAGACATTTACAGGTGCTGCAGCATGGAGGATGTGGTGTTGTGGTAGGCTTAATCCATTTTACAGTATTTACACTGGAGTACGTTTTCCGCCTAACGACGTGAAAAATGGTCCCACATCTTGACATTTTCTGTCTTTTTCGCACTCCACCGGGGTCCACGTTGTCCGCCATGGCTTAAGAGAAAGTTAAGTTACATTCGCTACTCGCGTGTGCAGTCCAGTGGGCATGTGCGTCACTTATTTCAGTCCGGGTGAAACATGACCACGGGCGACTGCAAAGCCACGAATTAATTAAATATGAATTAAACGAATCCTCGAGGCAGAGAATTTGACTCGAGGATTTTTTGTACTCAAATTATTCGAGGTACTCGAGGAATCGTTTCAGCCCTACTCCCAACACTGGTCAGGACCTTCCAAGCCATAATGAGGAATTTGATGTACAGGTTTATCTTGCAATTGAAGAACTCTAACAACAGACTTGTGCAGATGCTGGTTGATCCCCATTTTAGTGCAGTGCGTTACCAGTCATCCATGTGGAGACAATGGTATGCATGTCTTTTATAATCTTTTGGATCGTTTTTATGTCTCTTTTTTAATGTGGACCTCGAGTCCGATAATAAAGTTGAATTGAATTGAATAACTCCTCAGGTTTATGATCTGAAAATGTAGCACTCACCAACTTTCTCTGACAGAACCTGAAGGTTAGACACCCGGTTATCTTTGAAGAGCTCGATGCCATAGATACAATCAAAGCCGTCATATTTAACCATGTAGAGAGAGCTGTTGACGGTTAGACGCTCCAGAACGGTTCCTTTCCACTTGGTTACATTCCCCTTCTCCCTCCAGGTGTGCTGGATCCTACGGCCCAGAAGATTATCAGGGTCTGGATAGAGGGTTGATGCTGAGCTTTCACTCAGCTCTCCACTGCTACGCTTCCTGTATAAATAAATAAATGAACACAAGTATACTTAAAGACATCTGTACCGATAAAAAGAGCAATTTTATGGACTTTTATTGCAGAGGATCAACAAATCCTCTGTCCTCAACAAGATGCGAAAAGGCAAACCACCACTAAACAAGAGATAAGCTCTCAGGAGATGTGTGCACTTTAAAGTCAAACATAAAACATGTTTCTTTTGAGTCTCATCTTTTTCTCTTCCATGCTCCCTTTATTGCATCTAATTACAAATTTATTAACAAAGGGGAAAAATAAAACTCAGCCTATAAATATAAAATATTGCTAGCATCACAATAAAACAACAGAATGTGAGGCTGAATTCCCAACAAGCAAACCAGAATAATGATGTTGTCCCTTTAACAGCTGGGAATGTTAGAGAGAAACGTGGAGGAGTGTTTATCTGCAGCAAAAAGGAGGTTTGATCTGACGCAGAAAATATGCTGTGAGAACTGAGGCTCGTCTCCCCCGCTGATATTGAGGATGCTTTACTAAAGAGAATGCAAACATTTTCTTTTTTTCCCCAATTATGGAAACATTTATGTTTATTAATTCTTGATCATGGACTCAATCAACTGAATGTAAATGTATTGCTCTAAGAGGAGGGGAGACTGATAACAATGTCCTCACATTATTACAGTGCCTGGATGGAATTACTATAAATATTGGATGATAAGGATTTTTGCTGAAAACAATTCAAAGTCAACAGTGATCTCCCAGAATTTTCTTGTGCTTTTTCGCCACAGGTCGTGAAACCCGGAAATTGGGTTCTGATGAAGGTGCTGAAGCGTAACAGATGGGGCAGCTACAGGTCCATTCGAAGTACTCCTCATTACTCCTACTGCTGTGAAGATTGCTAAGAGGCCATCTTGGATTCATCTATCCCACTGCAAACTCATCAACGACAACTAACCGCTCTAGCGCGGCAACGAAGTCCGACTACAAAGGGGTGGACCACCACTAGGGTGCCGTCTCTCAAACCCAGTGAAGATAAGATCAAGGTAAGATAAAGATCTGCTTTGAGCTTGTTGGGTTCACCACATTGTTGATGTTGGTGGTCGCACTCATGGCCCTGCACTTGGGCCGCCTCTCAGCACCTGATGGAACAACTGAGACAGCAGCATTTGAGAGGGTGCTAGAACTGCAACTGAAACGACCAGTTGGGGCTCCTCCCTGACCGCACATCTACATGACAACATAACCTGCATCCACCTCGGCTGAAGACCTCCTGGGATGCTGGGAAAGGATAATCACTTCAAGCACCTGCACCCAAACCTCCAGACTGGTTTCACAGTCAAAGACCTGAACGACTTTTCAGGGACAAGATTAGCTCCCTGACAATTGGACAACCACCTCGACACGCCACGGAAGGGCCCTGAAGTCTTCCTATTGAGAAGTTGAACTTTGCGCTTCATGTTCCGATCTACGTTATTATGCTCCGGACCTGGACTTCAAGGTACTCATCAACGTAAGACTGAAACCATCCTGATCAACGGAAGAGGATTCTGACTTCCAAACCCTATTCTCCAATCGGGACACTCAGCCCACGGACAAGCCCTTTGATGAAGAACGCCTGGTTTGCCTCAGCTCTGCCATAGTTAGAGCTACATAAATTAATATTACACCCTCATTTTTCCTCCTTCACTGAAAGACTCGTCTGCAACTTGGAGCTTTAAACCAAATTCACCTGACGTTTCAATACACTGTATTGATGTTTTCTGTGTATTATATGGTTTTGCTGACCCTTCCCAATCTCCTTACAGGAACTCCCATAAGTCGTAGAATTGTGCATCACAGTAAATTTATTTCAATATGTATAAAATAGTTTTCTTAAGGTTATAATTGTGTTGATTTAGCTGATTCTATTCTCTATCTCTGTGAACTGCTGTAAGATATTATTGTCAGTTGTGTTTGCCTTATTTGTGTTTGTTACCTTATTTGTTATTATTTTGCTGATTTTTGTATTGAACTTTGTATGGAATGATTCTTTGGACAAGTTAACAGGATTGAGATTACAATCCGCAATATACATATGACTGCAGCACCTCATGCTGTGTTTGCCTTATCGTGTTGATTTTGACCCATTTATATCTGACTGTAGTGTTCATTACTTTACTTGTTATTTTTCTTGTTTTGATGCTTATCATTTTTTGTCTAGAATCGTGATTGATGTAGCTTTCATGGATGATGGTGGCTTGTTATGTCAGTGGATAAAATTCCTTATTACTTTACCTATTTTGCTTTCCTTATTTGGTTCTGTTTTGTTTTGTTGGTTATCCTTTTCGGATAAACAGGAGGGAAAGTTATGGAAAAATTAATGTTTATCAATTCTTGATCATGGACTCAATCAACTGAATGTAAATGTATTGCTCTATGCCTCTCTGCATGCTCACTCATTCAGACACACCCACACATGCCACACACACCCACACATGCCACACACACACACACACACACACACACACACACACACACGCACACGCACACACACACACACACACACACATTCTTGACTTCCCACAGAGGCAATCTCTCTCTCTTTCTCTCTCTCTCTCCTCCCACCTCATAAATAGTCTGTGACCGGATGTTCGGTACATTTTGCCTCGAGCATCTTGCCACAGTTATAACTGTTTGACTTGTTGATCATTGTTTCCTTCTCTCTTCACTATAGGGAAATGGGTTGATACAATCCATGACATCCCCCCTTTGTTGAACATTGCCTTCAACCGCTTTCACCTTTCCTTAAGTTTTATGAACTCTGAAAACAATTGTAAGAAATTACATTCAAAACACAAGATGGGATCATTTTTTAAAATTAGTTTAGATTATTTATTTTTAATAGCCTCCCTTCGTTTAACCCTGTTAACTGTAACTCCAATTGTAGTTTAGTTTTTTTTAACAAACTTGCAAATAAATACACAAAACATTTATATGATTAAACAGAGTTTCTCAAACTTTTGGGGATCCCTGTAGCCAGCTTCGCCATTTATTTATTTTTTTCTGGGGGAGGTAATCCTTTCGCTGGAAAAACTTTGGTTTACGTCTTGAACTAATGTTGCTTTGTAATGAGATGCCTCTTTAACCTGCTTGGCTTTATTGCTTCATTTGCTGCACATGAATACACTCAACACATTTTGGTCTTCCATTGTTATTTTCGATAAAGCCAGACTCAAGATAAATGTTGTCATACTTCTAGTTTCAGCTGGTTTGGCCTTTCACATTACTTGATCAAATTTGTCTATTGTGCTAATAAGACATGCCTCTTATGATCCCACTACGTGTGTTTCACGGACCCCCAATTTATGGCTAGTTTGAGAGTCACCGTGATAAAAGGTCTGAAACTATTTAGACCCATTTTAAATGTGCTGCCTGCTTCAAACTGAATTTATCTAACACCTGAACTACATAAATAAATATATCTGAAAGAATCATTAATAAAATAAACACAAGAAGTTATTCATAAGCATGAAAACAAACTATTAAAATTAGTATAATTAGCAAAAACCTACCTTCCCCGTTTCTTTGACATGTTTCCATAAATTCACGCAGTCCTGTGAGACACAAAACAACTCAGTCAGTGTACAGAATAAAAAAAAACATTAGACGAAACAAATGATTTAAACAACGTTCGGTCTGTAATTATAACTAGACTAACCACAGCCATGCAAAGCAGCCAACAGAACCGGATGTAAACAAGCCCGCTGTGAGAGGCGGCAGACTGCTGCTTACATATTTATACAGCTAACTATGTGGCTAATAAATGTCTAACTTCTCTCATTAGCAAAGCTGTCGGCTGTCATCCACAACAGGAAACGAAGATAAATCTCACAGCGAACAAGCAGCAGGACTAACACTTAGGCCCAACTACAGCTAATGCGTGTAACCAAATAGGAAATAGTTCTGAAAACTGTCTGCTGCATTTTTGTACATAAGCTAGCCGAACAAAAGGAAATGCATCGCCATGTAGGCGAGGTTTGCACCACTGCGACAGCTACAAGAACAGAGGGAAAAGAAGAAATGTCCGAAATAAGTGACTTTGTATTCATTATGTTCTCGACTTCAGCGATAGTCGGGAGCTAACAGAAGAAGCTGTGTCCTACCTGATCAATAATTTCACATGTGTTTGCGTGTGCAGACCATATTCCTCCACCTAACGTAGGCTACACGGAAGCGCAAAAGATTATTTTGAAAACTACAAATACCAGCAGGGTGAGCGGCTCGCGCTGCAGGACTTCCGGTCACAAATGCGTCATACACCCAAGCACTATTTATTTACTTAATTCGTGCAGGTAATCATACTTTTCTCGATATATTGCTATACATTTAGTTTCTTTGTGTGTTTTAGCATGTTTGTCGTTTATTCACTTTTACTTAATTCAACTTGTACATCTGGACTAAACAAGACTTTGAAAATCCTATTTTTTGGTCAACAAAACTGTCGATGAACTTGATTGTATTTTTTCGCACTAGAGATTTTCTTCTATTTGAACAAAAAGTTGGCAAATGTATGTTTTTATTTATGCATTATATTTATGAATGCTGCACAGACAGGCCAGACAATAAACTTTTACTTTCACAAAGTGCCACTGCATTGTTAAACCCTAAGTAATTTTAACTGAATCCTATTTCTTCTCTATTTTGTTAAAATCATTTCCTCTATCAAACAAATAGCTCAGTAGGCCTTTTTGGTTGCTGAAGTGTATAAATCAACCACAAGATGTCATACTAAACACAAATTCTCTGCCACCAGCTCCGATAACAGCCCAATGATGAACTGAGCAGTGTGGAGAGTGAATGAACCCTGGTGCCTGACTGGTAGGATTTTCTGAGGGGGTGGGGGGGAGACTTGTTTATCTAGGGTTAAACTATTTGTCAACAGTGTGTGTGTGTGTGTGTGTGTGTGTGTGTGTGTGTGTGTGTGTGTGTGTGTGCGTGCGTGCGTGCGTGCGTGCGTGCGTGAGTGATATGGTAGAGGATGGGGAAAAGGGGAGGGGGGGGAGGTCTAAATAATTAGAATAAATCAGAAACTAAGAAAAAGTCACACTCAATATTTTACTGATTGTGGCTCAGATTATTTATTTAAATAATTATGTATCACTGATTGATCAAATAGTGCTTCAGCATCATTGGCTAGTGTATTGTTATTCAGCATCCTTTCAGTTTTCTTAATAAAAAGAAGAACTGTTTATTTGCTTGCACTTTAATGCAAAATGTAAAAAAAGTTCCTCAATTAAAAAAATAATTATGTACACCCCCCACAATTCCCCCCTCGCCCCTACCAAGTCCACTATAAAAACAAGATCAAGCTCCTCATCCCCTGGTCCCCCCCAGCCATCACAGAGCTGTCTGATATGTGTCCAGATTTCAAAGAAGATGTTATTCATAAGTATTTCCAGGACAAATGTGGACCTAATGAAATGTTAGTGTTACCTATCTCCAGGGGCGGACTGGCTCATCTGGCATCCTGGCATTGTCCCGGTGGACAATGAAACAGTGACAACTCCGCAAGTGCGAGATAAGGTGAGAAGCTCAGTCATCTGGGAGGGGCCCGGAGTAGATCTGATCTGCTGCTCTTCCACATCAAGAGGAGCCAGTTGAGGTGGCTCGGGCATCTAGTTATGATGTCTCCTGCACGCCTCCCTGGTGAGGTTTTCCAGGCATGTCCAATTGGAAGAAGACCTAAAGGACATGCTGGAAGAACTATGTTTCTCAGCTGGCCAGGGAACGCCTTGAGATTCCCCTGGAGGAGCTGGCCCAAGTGGCTGGGGAGAGGCAAGTCTGGACCTCTGCTTAGGCTGCTGCCCTCGTGACCCGACCCCGGACAAGCGGACAATATTGGATGGAGAATACCTGTTCGCCAACATATTCCAAGAAACATAACAGTTACTTGTCAAACCCTTTCAACACAGTATTCCCCTTCATTTCTTTGAAGGTAAATGTTAGATCTCTTAGCAACAAGTCATTTTTAATAAACACTCTTATCTCTGCTTATGATCTTGCTTGGATTGGAAACTTGGTTAACCCTCTGGAGGCAGGCGTTGCAGATTTGCAACATTAAAACCTACCTACCTGGTTACTCCACATACGTATTTCATGAGCATTTTTAAACTCAGAAGTACCCCTGAAGGACTTAGTTGCTCGTCCTTTTATCAAAACTTATTTTGACCCTGAGAGGGCTAAATAGTAGCTGTGCACCGGTTCTCATAGAATCTACTCCACCAAATTTCACACCTCTAAATGTGGTTCAGTCTGACAGAAAAGCTGGTGTTGCTGCTATTTATAAAGATTTGTTCCTATGTAAACAGCTAGTGTTTGGGGATTTTGACTCTTTTGAGTATCTTTGTTTTAAGTTGAAAGGGACACCCAAGATCTTAGTGTTAGAAGTTTATTGGCCTCCAGGGTCATGCACTAATTTCCTAGAAAACTTTACTGAGCTTCTTTCTGTTCTCACAATGGACTTTGAACATTGTCTCATAACAGGTGACTTGTATATTCACATTGCTGATGACAAATCTACAATGAAATTCTATGGAGTGCTTGAACTATTTGATGTGCAACAACATGCATGGTCCAACACACAGTCAAGCTCACCAACTAGACTTACAGTAATCTTAACTAAAGATATTGATGTCCAAGACATTGTCATTGAGGGTCTCTCTGACCATTTATGTGTTGTGTTTGAAATGTCAATTCCGCCTGCCACCCATCACACTTCAGTTATTCTGAAAAAAAGGTATGTGAGTGATCACACTGCTACGGTGTTTATAGATCTTATCAATATATCAACAAGTCTAACAACCAGCTGTGTTTATTCACTTCTAAATCATTTCAACTACAAAACTCTTTAAGTCCTTGACGCCATTGCACCCAAAACGGTCAGACTTATTTCTGGCAAGCGAAAAGTTCTATGGAGGCTCACTAAATCAGTTACAAATCAGAAAAGGAAATGCAGAAAAGCTGAGCGTAAATGGAGAAAAAGTAACCTAGATCATGGTCTTACAATTAGAATTAAATAAGGCGAGGCAAACCTTTTTCTCTAGTAACATTAACAGTTCCCATGTTCTGTTTGCTACTGTCGAGAGGCTGACTGTATCTCCCAACACATTTAGCTCCTGAATTCTCATCCCAAACTAAATATAAGAGTCAGGGCTGGTACGAAGGACTGGACCCAAATGCAGAACTCCAAAAACAAGGCTTTTATTTAGGCAAAAGCTTAGTTAACTAGGGATCAAAAACAGAACTGAGTCAAAGGACCCAGAGATCAGTGGCTTACTGCCTGGCTGGAACGAGAGAATGAAAACTAACCAACTGGCAACCGAAAGAGAGCAGAAGCTGGTTGAATACACACAAGAACAGCTGGGAGAAATCAGAGTAATGAGGAACAGGAAACAGAACTGAAACGGGAGAGGTGACACCAAAATAAAACAGGAAGTGGGACGGATGAACAGGTCTGACAGCAGGGCGTGACAGTAATGAGTTTGCATCCATTTTTGTGACAAAATAATAAACATTTGAATAGCAATTCATTTCTCCTTGTCAAACAACACAACTAGACCACTGCTACAGCCGAACAGCAACAATATGGCTAGAATGCCGTTTCAGTGTGATTAGTGCTACAACACTGGAGGACCTTAAATTCATACTTGCTGTCTGGACAACCTGCCAGCCAACTTCTCTAAACATGTTTGTAGTTGCTTGCATGCTGACGTACTGAAAATTGTTAATTGCTCCTTTATATCAGGTATTGCAGGTAACGCTGATCACAACTGATCATAATTTAAAATGGGTGTTTAAGAACTGAAATTGATGCAAAAATTTCAAATCCACCGTTGTATGACTGGATATTGCAGATGTATGAGCCAGCTGTGGCGAGCTGTAAAGCTAGTGTTATATTGACACAAAGCTGTCTGGTGTCCAAGGTTGCCCTCTCTTGTCCTTGCTGTTGTCACAGCAACAGAAACAAGCCTAGATCAGAGAAATGGGACAATTTATTTTTTCTTTCTTTCTTTTCTTCTGTCACCCCTTCAAATTCTCTCAACAATCAGTGGAGGTCATTCAGTTGGCAGGCAAATTTAGCCTCCAAAAACCACCATCCCTAATTGAGTTGTGATAATGCAAATCTGCTATCTGAATCCAACATGAAGGTTTTTGCATTTTCAGGACCCCCAAAATGCAAATTCCACTATTTACTTGTCTGCATGACTGACATCTTCTGCAACTCGCAGTTTTCTGTGTTGCTCTGCTACAGAGGAGGGGAGCCCACAGCGGGCCTCTCTCCTGGGATGCCATGAGAACACAGACTCCAAAAATAGAGCAACTCTCCTCTCTTTCCATCTTCGCTGCTCTTCAATGTACAATTTCCGTGTGTTGCCCTTAATGGATGGAGGACACACACATGGATCCCTAGAAAACACACCGAGCATTATGTGTCAAAGAAGCAAAGAGAAGCAGAGTTGTTTGATCTGTATTTGTGTCCACGTGTCTATATTATCCACACTGTCTCTTTAGGAGGTGAAAAAATGATTATGAGCATGGTGCATCAAGGGTATAATGAGACGAACTGAGCGCCACACTGCAGCGTGTGTTTCTGCAGCTTGTGCTGCTGTTAAAAGAGAGCTGCGCTGCTGCTGCTGACTGTTTTCTGACACTTTTATAAGCCACAGTTCTGTCTCTGTCAGAGTGACAGTGCTACTTACTTCCCTGAGAGCAAATATTCACAGCCGGGATAGTCAACTCCCTTCTCCGAGGGCTGGTATACAGCATGTTTTAGCTGTTTCCCTGGTCCAATACACTTAATTCACCTGCTCAGCAGCTCACTGAGCTCTGCAGAAGCCTGTTAATCACTTGCTGATTAAAACCAGATGTGTTGAAGTAGCAAAGAACTAAAACGTGCTGGATGCCGGCCCTTGGACATGGGAGCTGACTACCCCTGGGTCAGAGACATGTCACTAACCAGATGCTCTGGGGAGGTGATTATGTTTTGTTATATTTGGATTGGATTGACTTTAA